TCTTAAATGTTAGGAAAAGAATACAGTTTGAGACGAAGGGAATGTCTTGCGCTGTATTTTGTTCCAGGTTTTTGGTGTGGGAGGATAGTAAGCATAGTATATTTACGTCCTGGTGTAATCTTGCCAATGCAGCGAGTAGGGGGGCTGTTGGACGTACTCACAGCATCGACAGATTATTGCAAGCAAGATTTCCGAGCAGATGGAGCGGGGAGTTTGGGGGTTCAGCAGTTGCTATGTATTAGATTTGGTGGTACCAACTTTGCCGCATATTTCAGGATTGAGGGTGGGGGTATAGGTGCGGTCACAACGGATATGGTGATTGTGTTTTGTATCTGCCCACTTCTTTTTTCCCTCTTTTTTTTCCTTCTTCCTGTGTGCAATCAAGTCCTTTTTCCCCGGCTATCACGCCACGACTTCCACGCCAATCCCGGCTATCACGCCACTCGGCTATCACGCCTTCTGGACATCCACGTCCTTACTTCTACATATACACCACATATAACGTCACCAGGCTTCCACGCCACATCCAGAGATACCATACCCGAGCTATCACGCTCCATCCCAAAGTAGAAGGCTGTCACGCCCATCATAGTTCCTACACTGTACCGTTGGCGGCTACCGCGCCGCTGGCTCTTTTATTTCCCAACCAAGGGACCCCGCGCGCCAAGGCACCGACGCACAAAGCTACTCAACAGATGCGCAAACTACGGCGACGAAGAAAAACACAGAAAGGGAAGCCTTGAATTTGGTTTCACTGAAGCCGAAATGGATGACAGCCGCAATATTATGTGGCAGCAGAGGGAGAGTGAGAGAGAGAGAGAGAGAGAGAGAGAGAGAGAGAGAGAGAGAGAGNGAGAGAGAGAGAGAGAGAGAGAGAGAAACAGACAGACAGACAGACAGACAGACAGACAGACAGAGAGATGGGCGAAGGGAAATGGTGGTACAAGGGGTGGAGAGACCTTTGTGATCCCATGAAGAGATGGACACGGAGCCGGGCGTGGACACGCACAATGCACAGTGGACACCTGCACGAGGTGAAACTGTGAGAGGTGTATATATAGCAGCGCAGCAGCATTGCGGTATACTTTTATCAGTATCAGTGTTGTTGCGTAGCAGCGCGTGCAATGTTGTTGTGTGTGCCTCATGTGGCTGTATCTAATACCTCTGTTCATCAAGTCAATACACACAAAAAAAAAAACAGGACTGAACACTGCTGAAAGTCCAGCGGATCACACTGCAGCGGGTCAGACTCGGATGCTCCACGTTCCATACACTTGTAAAGTGAAACGCTTTCCTCACCCGCTGAGACGAGCATGACACCACATGTACTACCGAGGCCGCACAACAGAATCTGCTACTGCCGAGATTTCCACAGCTTCAACCATTGAGCGTCGTTGTTAATGTGCTTTTTTCGCTCTGGAGTCTGGTATTGATGTGTGCGTGCATGCCATGGTCGAGTGAACCACAGCTATTACTAGCTGCAATTCGAGCCACCATGAGGCGCCACCTGCTCTACATATCTTTGGTAATTTCTTGCGGGCAAATAAATGCCTAGGCCCCATTCCAAACGGATCTCTCTGATTCCTCCGCATCTCATCACTGCAATTTCCGTACGTACGTACTGAAGATCTTACCCGTCATACTATGCTACGAGTTCCCCCAACATATCTAATAGACAGAGTGTACGAAAAGCGCGGTTATGCTAGACGGCGAACTGTCAAAATTCTTCGACATTGAGCAGGGGGTCCCACAAGGTTGCACGCTGTCCCCAACATTGTTCCAGGTGTTCATCAACGATCTGTTGGAAGTCGTAGAGGCAGTCCGGAAGGGAGCACAAGTAGGGGACACGGAAACGTCGGTTTCAGGAATGCTTTTTGCGGATAATTTTGTCGGTATGTCGGACGCCCCTGAGGGACTGCAACTGCAAGTTGACGCGGCGAAGAAGTTTACTGATAAGTGGAGATTGTCTGCCAACGTTAAGAAGAGTGCCGTCATGGTATGCAACGAGAACAAGGAGGAACCAGTAGAACATAATAGATAGATCGAAGTGGGGGATCGAGGAGATTGCAGTAGTGGACCAGTACACATACCTCGGAGTATAGATCGCAAAAGACTGCTCGTGGAATGCACACATGTCCAAGGTAGCGGAAAAGGGCAAAGCGCGAGCAGGGAAGCTGCACCCAATACTCGCTAACCGGCACCTCGACACACGCATCAAATTGACGGTTTTGAAGAGCGTAATCGTACCGCCGCTAGAGTACGCCGGAGGGTATGGGAAGGAAATAAGAAGGTAGTCAAAGAACTTCGAGGCGGCGCAGGCGAAAGCAGCGAAAATCATCCTAGGATGCTCCAAGCGCACAAGTAATGCAGCCGTCAGGGCAGAATTGGGGATCCAATCAGTACGGTCGGGAGGAGACGCGAGGAAGCTGACATGGCAGTATCGCATGTGCGGGATGGGAGAGGAGAGGTTGCC